CCTCCTGACACCACCATATCAAATAAGCATCGCAAATTCTGAATTCATGTCCAAACTCAGTTCTTATTCTTCCTCCCAACCTACATCACTTCTCAGCCTTCATGGGAAAGGGAACAGACTAACTTCCAGGATCCACTTATCAGCCCCTCTGTGTATAAAAGACAAGCCACAGGTGAACAGACACTAGTATCGGATTCTAAGGGTCATCTGTATTACAGGGTCCCAGACTCAGGACACAGGAAAAGGGCAGTGCAGGCAGGGATGTGGGGAAAGAAAAGCCTGTTCTAGAGCATGACTGATCCTGGACACAGGAATCTACAAATTTTACCAACTATATTCCTGACCTGAGGTCAGCCTGTGCACCTTATTGCTCTAGCACCATAAGATGATGGGAGGCTCCTGCTCCCTATTTGTCAAATGAGTTTTGAGTATGTTCTGTTCCCAGGGCATGTGGAAGAAGTGGGGGTGGAGAATGAAGTAAAGATGTATAAATACACTCCTGGTTTCATGGACCCCAGAACCAACGGCATTCTCTGTGGATACCACAAAATCAGAGAAGTTCAGGAAGTTGGAGGTGGCATTTTTTTTCCCTCAATCTTGGATATGGTATTATTCTTAGGAATGACACACATCAGCAAAATGTCAACGAGGCAAAAGTGAGTCGCTGTTAACCACTGAACAGATATTAACCATGTGCAGTTGGGAGAAGGCAACTGAAAGAGCCGTAGGCAAGTTACAGACCAAAGGACTTCTGAGGACTCAGGAAGACTCTCAGAAAGCATCCAGACTACAGTTGCCTCTTCTTGCCAAAAGCCAGTAAAATCTATAAAAATGTCTTCCACCCCAGCAGCATAGCGTGTCCTAGGCAGTCATAATAGATGCAGCTGGCAAACCTGCAAAGCTGAAGAAACAGCAGGTCTCCAAGAAATGCCTGTATCTGCATAAGTTTATCAGCACCAAGTGAGGAGAGAAATAGCTCAAGCTACAGGAATACAGGTGAAAAGATACTGGATTTTAAGAGCACAGATGAAAGGAAATGCAAACAGAGACTGGGAACCTCTGCAACCTCTATATTAGTCCTCATAACACAAACAACAGATGACACACACCCAGAATGACAAAGAAAAATAAGACCAGAACCGGGAGAAAGCCAGTTCTCGGAGTCAGTCTGGCCCAAGTGATGGTGGTTACAAGTTAATACCTGAGCCACAGTCGCATCTGTAGGGTGAGCATTGCTGATCAGAGAGAGAACGCATTGTACTGGAGAAGGAACCCCTATCCAGACTAGGAGAAATACCTGAATTAAATGAGTAAGAACAGAGGTGTTTGCAAGTTGAGGAGACCTTTGTTTGGAGAGACAGTCAAAACAGGAAGAAGCAGCCAGAAGAACCCCAGACTGCTTTGCATTCTTTCTACCACAAGAGAGAGGCAAGCCAAGAATACAGTTGGAGTTTGACCAAGCAGAGTGGAAGTTTTGGTAGAGACTAACTGGAGCACAGAGGACTCGGGTTGCCATGACGATGGGAACCCGCCAGCCTTACAATAATGCATTATAAGGAGAAAAGCTGCATGCAAATGAAGTTAAGAGTCATCAATGGCAGAGCACCACAAGGTCACGGGAGGCATTTAGCAAGAGTCGGTGCAGCAGATAAAGGATGCAGCCCTGGCAAAGCACTTAGGTTGTACATAAAGGGGTTAAGCTGAGTCCGCATGCTTGAGAGAGCATCTATGTACAGTGAAAACTTGAAGGTTCTCCTACTGGTTTGGGCATAACTGGCACCAATAAATCTCCCATATTTGTTGCCACGAGTGAATAGAAGGGGTGTTGGACTGGGAAATAGGGGTTCCCCTTTTCTTGTGGCTGGTGTGAGGAAATAAGCAGCTGGATGAATTGGGCCTTCCCAGACTGGGTGGCAGAAAAGAGAAAACCCAGTTACATTTGTATCTTATGGTGGTGGTGGTAGTAATGGCACAGTGAGCAATTTCTCTACATGTAGAAACATACATATATATACATATATTTATAATACTAATTTGACTAGCTAGCTATTCATTGTTCATTCCATGGTGTGCAACCAGTTCTAATATATGTGCAAAATGTTGTCATTACAAAGTTGTGAGTTAAAATTAAAAGAAGAGAAATACGCAGGTAGTGCTGACATGGACCACCAGAATCTCTGATTTTCAGGCAAGATCCCAGGAATCTCTCATCTCACACCTTCAGTGGGCAAAAAGCTCATTGAAAGGATTGGTAGGTAAAATTAGTCTGTACTAGTTAAGTCATCTTCTCCCACTCCCTGACCCTCTTTCCTGTCCAAGCTGAATGGCTGAATTTGGGTAAATTAAAAGCTTATATGATGTGACTCCTCCATATATTTCTAGCCCTATGTTCAACACTAAGAAGAGTCCAGTACGCTGAACCTGCTCCCCCAGGAGCAGACAACCCTAACTCCAGAATGTGTGTCCTGCTCCTGTAAAAGAGCACCGCCTGGGTCATGCTTCACACCCTAGTTCTCTGCTCAAATGAAGCCCAGCCTTTGCTGGCTCTCTCTTTCTAGGGAGGCAGGCTTGGTTCTTGTTTCACTGGCTGAAATTGGGGTGCCTTTTCCATACAATTTCTCCTGAATCAAGGTATAGTCATCTACCTCACTATGACCATCGCCTCTGCCTGTGGACTCCTGGCTCCATGCCCTGTCACTAGATCCAATGCTTCGGAAAGTGATGTCATTTCAAAGTGGACATGAGGTCATTCTGCCAATGAGCAGCCAGCTATGTTTTGGAAACCAGCCCTGCAGCTCACCTAGCTCCCTCAACCCTGGATCTAGCCACAGGGGTAGCAGGAGGCATTCGATTCAATGCAGTTCAATGGCTGATGGGGTGGCTGGGAGCCCAGGCAATGAGAGGTTTCAGAAGGTCTACAGCTTGACTGTTTTTCCACCCCACTTCCTCGGTGGCACAAATCTACAGAGGAAAGCAGGGTCACTGTCCCTTTGTGTGACCTCCATACACATGTTGGCTAGATAACTAAGGAGAGATGGAAATTTTCTCCCTGTTTCCCCAATGCCTAGCACAGTGCTTTAGATGTAGAAGGTGCTCACTTAATATGTGTTTAATGAATGAACAAAGAAACTAATACAAACAATGAGTGATTCAGCTGTGTTCCTGCCTGTCTCAATGTCCTCTGAGTCTTGGCTCTGGAGGACCAACAGATCACACCTGTATCTTCAAAAGCAACACTTCTCCTTTCAGGCTTTCAATGCATTTATCACATCACTTAGGTGAGTCAACACATATAACTGAACTGCATCACTTCTAAGCCCCACAAATGACACCCACCACCAATGACGTGGGGCCAGTGCTGTAATTCCCAGAGGCACCTGGCCAATCTGAGTGACATGGCCTCAAGACATCCTTCATGTCCCAAATGAGGAGTGATGGCACTCATCAGTCTTGCCTTCCTTCGCTCCTTCCTGCCACCCCACCGCAGCTGGTGAAAATCCCAGAGCATCCTCAAGGCTTTTCTAGGTCAGTCACACATAAGCCCTGGGTATCGCGGGCATAGGCTGGTCCCTGGGACTTCTTCACTACCCTTTAGAGCTCTAGCCTAACAGCCTGTGGCTCTTTTCTGCCAGCTCCTTCCTGCCTTGTTCAGCCTGTATGGGGCTGAATCCAGGTTAGTAATGGACATTTACTAAGCACCTACTTGTCCTGGCTCCTCAGGCATTACATTCTGGGTGAGTCTCTCCTGAGACATAACATTTCCTTTTTCTCCAGTACAGATTATACCCAGAGCTCCTTCTAAAGAGGGGCTTTGTAGAAGCTACACTGTGCCCCACCCAAAATACCTTATGCAGATGGAATTAGGTTAAAAGAAAACAGAAGGTACCTTAAGGTAAAGGCAGACTGTGGGGGTGCGGGGAAGAGGAATGATAGTTCCAAAGGTATCTGCCTGGGGGTGGGCTGGCTGGATGCATATGAGGGTACAGACCTAAGGCAACCTGCCCAAATAGCTCTACCCACCTAGGCTCCTTAGGCATCAAATCATGCCCACCCCCGACCCTGTCTTACTTTAGAACTTAGACCTGCACCACACCTTTCATAACTTGTTAAAATAAGACTCCAGGATGTACAGGAGCCTTCAGTGGTCACCTACCTAACTTCTTTCCCCAGGCAGGCATCTCCTAACATCCCTGACAGGCCGTCAGGCAGTTGTCTTGTGTGCCAACTCAGAACCTTGCGGACATGTCTGATCATGTGAATCACAAGGGGCACTTGTAGAAAGCTCACCAACTATTCAAAGCAACACAAAATCAAACCCTGCTTAAAAAGGGCCTGTGAACCTGAATTTTTCACCAGCATCCCTAGTGAGTCTTATAATTAAGCACGTTTCTTATGTGCCTATAATACAGTGGTTCTTGAAGGTAGCTGAATATTAGAATCAGCTAGGAAGCTTTAGAAAAAAAAATCAATGACAGGCCTTTACCCATAGCTATCCCTACTTAATTTGTCTGGAGTGGAGCCCAGGGGGTGTAAATTTTTAAAGCTCCCAGCTGATTCTAATGTGCAGCCAGGGTTGAGAACTACTGTAATATCCTCCCAGACCAATGGTAAGCTCTTAGGAGACAGTAACCAAGAAATATATACCCCTTGGTACCCCTCACTGAATCCCACCACCATGTCAAACTGTCACAGAGCATACTCTCTGTAACTGCTGGGGTTACCTGATTTAACTAACTGTTCATCCATCCAATATGCGGCGTAATTTCTTGTATTAAGAAGCTGTGTACTTCCACTTAGACAGAGGCCAGACAATGGAAGCTAAGATTTCCTACAATTGAGTACACACACACACAAGCGCACACCCACATATCTGCATGCACGTGTGCACGCTCACACACATCTCCAGCCCTCCTTTTCCCGAGATTAACCATCCCAAACAATGCAGGAGCCGTCTGCCCCATTTCTGCCCTCTGCTCCCGCCCCTCGCCAGCTCGACTCACATTGTACAGCACGGTGGTCCACCCTTCCATGGTGATGCACTGGAAGACAGTCAACACAGCAAAGAGGATGTTGTCAAACTGGGTGATCCCGTCGTTGGGGCCGATCCAGTCCCTGCATTCATAACCAGCTGGGCAGCCCTGCACGCCACATGGGTGAGGGGGGTCGAATCCTTCAAGAATACCTGCACGCACATTTGGAGGGTGGGGGGTAAACCACATGGTATTTAGCATGAGCTGGCAATGACCCCAGGAAGCCATAAGCATGCAATTCTATTTCCCACAGAAAGATGTGTCCTTTGCTGTCTCGGGCTCCCTCCCATCTCTGGCCTCTCTGCACCTCACACGTCACATCCCTCGTGTTCAAACCAGTATTTCCCAGCCTCCTCCAAAAATGAAGCTGGTCCTGCACGTGGTCCCTATTCTCCACAGGCCACAGCCCCTACCCTCAGCTGCGTACCAGAAATTTATAGGACTGGTCACACAGAAAGGTCTGAGGTGAAGGCAGGATCTTACTGATTTTCTAAACTTCAGACTCTAGGATAGACCATGAGTTCTTTCTGTGTCTCTTGGGGACCATCATAAACTACAGTCCCTTTGGTGAGCCTTAACTTTTTTTTTTTTTTTGGCCTAAATTCCTGGTCTTGAATAAAAGACCAAGCTAAAAAATAAATCCAAGGTGGAAGGTATCCTTTGAAGATTCTTTTCATAAAAAACATGGTGCCTAATTGGCCTTCTTCAACCTCTCCCCATCCCCTTTCCCCCTAGGGCTCTCTACTCAACTTGCAAAGAGCGATGAGATACAAAGAGATAAGAATTTGGAGCCTGTGTACCCCACCAGTCTCCCAAGCTCCCCTGCCAAGCCAAGCTCAGAGCTGTCTCAGTTCCTCCACACTGTTTGTCGGTCACAGCAGGGAGGAAGGTCATGAGATGGACCACAAAGGAAAAACATCTCCACAGATATGAAGGGACCCTGACTCTGAGCTCCTAGGTCTCACTAGCCTGTGGGTCGGAGAGGGTCTGTCTTCAGACAGATGGTTTCTCACACACACTCCTATAGCCTTCCACTGTGGATGGGGGAGCGGAGACCTCCTGTTTGAAATCCTCCAACTGCAAACCTAGGAGAGTATTAGCTATGCAATCTCAGCGTCCGATTGGGGTGTTTAGTCTAGCCTGGCTGTGCCTCCAAAGGCTGACTAGGAAGTTTCTGGTTCTATTTGTAGGGTGGGGATAGAACCTACTATCCAAGCAGTGTCTGATTAATGCCCTGAAAGGAACCCCCTGACCCGAGGGGAGAAGAAGGGAAGAAGAGGGAGACAGAAAGCAGCGACCGTACCTGAATTGTTCATGAAGCAGGCGCGGTGCAGCTTCCCACTGTAGAACTCCAAGCCAATGATAGCGAACATCAGGATGGCGAAGAAGAGCAGGAGGCCGATCTGCAGCAGGGGCACCATGGCCTTCATGATGGACTTCAGCACGATCTGCAGGCCTGGAAGGGAGGCAAGAGGACGACTAACGCAGCCTCGCTTGGGGCCATCTGCCCACGCGGGCTCAGTCTCCCCTCTCCCGGGGGAGGGCAAGTCTTGGAGGGAAAAGAACCATTGGTCCCAAAATGATCAAGACAGTCCCCAAAGGGATAACCAGGGCAAGTCAAGGGCAAACTGCCAGCCCTACTTCCTCCACGGACCAATCCCCTCCTCCTCCTCGCCCTGGTCTTCTGCATGCCTCCTGCCTTTCCCTCATCTGTTTCACCCCTGTCGTCTTCTGGATTAAACTTACTATAGAATGTGCTTGTTTCCTAAAGGGAATCGGTCCCAGCCCTGCGAGGCTGCAAGTCCTGTGAGAGCAAGGACAGAGTTCACCCTCCCCACCGTTCTATCTCGGGCCTGGTTCTCCCAGTCGCCGCTATCACAGCACGTTCAGTACAACCAGTATTCATAAAATACCAACCCTCTGACCCAGAAATGGTCCTTCTAGGGTTCTAGCCTAAGAAAATAATCAGAGATGTGCATAAGATCGAAGCAAAAAGTTGTTTGCCACAGCACTATTTCCAGTTGGAAAAAACACACCTGGAAATAACCTAAATATCCAGCACCATAGCTAAGTCCGTCATGACCCATATGACAGGCAATAGTGCAGATTTTGAAATTACATTTCTGAAGAATTTTTAATGTCAGGAAAATAAAATACTTATGGAGGGATCTAAAACTATATATACAGTATGATCACACTTATATTTTAAATGCACAGGAAAAAATATACAGAAATGTTAGAAGTTATTTCTGGCCCTGGCCTGTGTTGCTCAGTGGTTAGAGCACCAGTCTGTGCACCGAAGGGTCGCTGGTTCGATTTCTGGTCAAGGGCGCGTACCTGGGGTGTAGGTTTGATCCCCGGCCCCAGTAGGGGCACCTGTGGGAGGCAACCAATCAACGTGTCTCTCTCACGTCGATGTTTCTCTCGCTCTCTCTCCACCCCCCTTCTTCTCTTCCACTCTCTCTAAAAAAATCAATGGAAAAAATATTCTCAGTAGAGGATTAACAAACCAAAAAAAGTGATTTCTGATAGGATAATGAGTGCTTTTCATTTTCATAATATATCATTTCCTGAATTTTCCAAAGTTTCTATAATGATCTTTCATTATCTTTAAATCTGAAAAGAAAAAAAAAAGCTGCTAAGTTTAAAAAAGAAGTATCATGTCAGGTTGCTGCATACACTATTTATTACCACAGGGGTTAACTCCCAGGAGAAACTGTTTCTTATTTATCCCACATTCTCTTAGACCCAGTCCAGTTAAGGACATATCAAGGAAGCTATTAGCAGAGTAGAAAGAAGAAAAAACGGTGCTTACTGGGTATCCCCGACACGAGCTTCAGGGGCCTCAGGACACGCACGGCCCGGAGGGTCCTCAGGTCCACATGCGTGTTGAAGTGGGTTCCCGCAGTGGCCAGGATGCTGCAGATGGAGACACAGAGGGTCAAGGTTACCAGTGTCTGGCTTTCTCCCCTGTCCATGGGGGAAGCTGGATTAAAGAAGGATCAGCCAGGAAAGCACACAGAGCTGATGCCGGCTGTGTGTGGGTGCACCTGAGCTGGGGTGAATCACCGGTGGTTCCAAGTGGAATTGAATTTAGCCCCATGGATTTCGCTTTGCAAAGAAGGAAAATGTATCATCATATTAGAATCCTAGTTCCAAACTCTTAGTAAAACACAAGGTCTCCAGCACCTGTCCCATTCCTGTTCCCTACACTCCTCTCTGTTCCTTGCAGACCTTCCACCTTTCCAACCACCAAAGCCCTCATATTTTTTATTTCAAAATTTTCTTTGATTCTCCTGTCTCCTATCTCCATCAGAAAACTTCCCTGGATTAACTACAATAAAGGAGTAACTCATTCCTCTCCACCTTGACACTTAGAATTTTGACCAGACAAATCAATCACACGGATGCTTATAATTAGGGAGTAACTTTTCTGGTCCCCATACGATATTTTTATAATTGTCCAAAATCACTGTGTGACCTAGATTTGGTTTCTTTGCTTCCATTTTCCCCCCTTCCACAGCCATATCAGAAACACACACACACATAAAAACCACACACCAAAACCATTAAAATCCTATTAGATTGTGAACACCAAGTTCCTTGTCTTGAGGAGACAGTTTATTTCGTTTAATCCCATGACACTGCAGATACTTTGGAGAGACAAAGACATTCAAGTATTAATAGAAGACACAGCAAAAGGCCAAAAGCCAAAAGAACTGGGTATAAGTCCTCACTCATGCACTTGAGAATTGGGTGACTTGAGGCAAGTCACTGAACCTCGACGAGCCTCCCTACCCTCATCCACAGAATGGGGGAGTACCAAGGCCTAGGTATAAAAATAAAATGACATGGCATAGAATATGAAGAGTGGTCAGCATACTATAATGTGCCAAACAGGCATTACATCCAACACAAACATTAATAAAATGAGTTTGGCAACTCTAATTTTAGCCTTCTGCCTGTGGGATAGTTCCCTGCTCTCCCTCAGAAGCACTCCAGAACAATTTCAGCTTTCTGGAACCACTAGGAATGAGTCATTTAGCAAACTGAGTTATCTATATAGTCAAAGGGTGCCAAGAATACTTCATTCCACTTAATTATTTTTGGTAGAAACCCTCTGAAACATTTCAAGTATTGAAGAAGATACTTGAAGTGCCTTCCATACTTGAAAGAAAATGTGAATGAAAGGCTTATGCTATGTATCTCTAAGAAGCAGACAGAGAGTCCATAGGATCAAAGCACACAGATCCAGGACATCAGAACCATGAATAATAACTTTGAAACAGGGAGAGCTGCCCAGCACCAAAGCAGACTACTTCCTAACATTCAAAGTACTCAAGAATAGACTATAGAACTATCTGTTAGGAAGTTAAGAGGGTTCCTGTTTGGGTTGAAGGGTATTTTGAAGGACCAATAGAGATTTCTTTGATCTTTAAGATTCTGTAATTCTATGCTAATCCGATCTCAAAACAAGAACCAGACAGAAATCCTATTCTTATAGAGAATCTCAGGAGGGAGGCAAGCTTCCCGAGTCTTCTCCATCTCTCCTGACCCAGATCCCAAGCGCTCATCTGAAAAGGAGGGAATCAGGAATGGAGTCTCTGACACTGCTTTTGACTCTATCTTCCAAGGCCAAAGAGGAAAATTAAGGAGGGGAGTGACATAATTTCTAGAAAGTAAGGAAAAACAAGAGAAGAGAGACCAAAGAGAAACATGGAAAATAGGACAGAAATAAAAATAATAATAAAGGAAAGAGGTAAAGAGAAATGTCAAGTATAGGTGGAGAGACAGGGAACTGGAAGGGCAGGAAATGGGGTCGTCGTTTGGCCAATTCTGCTAACAGGGGAAGGAACCTTGAACTTGGAGCCTTCTGAGGTGCACGTGGGGTCTCTGCTTTCCCTCTGGTTTCTTCCATCGTCTTAGAAAAGGGAGGGAGGATCTGCCCAGGTCAGAAACCAGAGTTCTGTTTCCTGGGACACCCAGATACACACGAGATGCTCTTTCATAGCATAAAAGGGGCTGTGGAAAATGAAAATGCCCTCCCAGCCCTGAGCTGAACAAGATGCATTTCAGAACAAGGAGGTAGGGGCAGAAAGGCAAAAATTAAAAGGCAAAAAGGCACAAGTGTAGAGAGAGGGAAAGACCATAGAGGGAGAGGAGAGAGAAGTGAGCAGTGAAAGAAAACATGGAGATGAAAACAGGAGGGAAAATATGAAGAAATGAGAGCTGGCGGGGAAGCAAATGTTGGAGATAAGAAAGCTTACACAGGAAAGAGAACACAAGTAAATAAAGCTAACCTGAAAGAGAGAAGCAAAACTGAGGTATGCACTGCAGGGCCTCGGGAGCCAGCCACGGGATAGGTTCATGTTCTTTCCACCAAGCGCAGCCCTGGGCTGAACCGACCTGCTCCCCAAGTCCTCCGAGCCCCGCTTCAGCCGGGGCCATGCCGCCTGCGCCCTGCGCCCTGCCCCCCGGCCCTTGAACTTGACCTCCTTCCAGAGCAGGAGGGCTGTCTGCTAGGCCTTCAGCCGCTACCTCCCCGTGTTCAGAGAGTCCTCGAGGGTGGGAATTACGACTTGGCTCCCCCCTCCACCTGTTAGAAGCAGGAGCAATGGGGATTCTTGGGGGGAAAAGATAATTGAGGAAAAGGACCCTGCTTCTGTGCGTCCATAAAATTCTGAGCCCACCGCCATCATGGTCCTTATGAACTGATGGAGAAATTCTTTGTTTTCTAATCTGTCTCCCCTGCGAGATCGGGGACACCTCAGGCAGAGATACTGTCCTTCCTCGTCTCTATGTCCCCCACACCCAGCCCAGAGTGTGGCAAGTAAGAGGTGCTCCAGGGGTGACTGATGAAAGTAATAAGCATGCAGAATACCACAGAAATCCTTGAAAGGAGCAGGGAACACAGCTGGGAGGCTGCTCAAACACGCGTCTGTTTGGTCACACAGGAGTGCGCTGGACATGCGTCCCAGAGCATTTTAGAGTCTAGTGAGGATGGCCCAATACAGTCCTAAGGCTCCCGCTCTCAAGCAGATGCAGAGGACAGGCTCTGCCCATCTTTAGCAGGGGAGTTAGAGAAAGAAAGAGGGCAGGAGGAAGACCCCAAATGTAAAGGCTTGTCTCCTGGCAAAACCCAAGTCCTGAAGTGTATACAGCTCAGGACGACTCTGGGCCTCGGATATAGCAGGCCCTGGGCAGGAGGCAAGGGGAACGTGAACACTAGGAAAAGGCCCGGCCCTCAGTCTAGTAGAAGGAGACAGACATAGAAATGAAATAATTATAATTCACCATGAAGAAGGACATAACGGAGGAATTTATAAAGTCCAATGAGCATGGGAAATGCTGCAGTGACAAACACAGTGCTATCTGCTAGCACCTCAAATACACTATCTCATGAAATCCTCAAAATTATCCTCATGTTACAATTGCCCTCATTTCATAGAAGAGGAAACGGAAGCACAGAAAAACTGAAATTGCTTATAAATGGCAAGACCAGGAGTTAAAGTCAGTTCTTTCCTGATACCAAAGCCAATCCCTTTCTGGCCCTGCTAGAGCCTGACCACCCTCCACATCCCCAAGGGTGTATTAATTCCCTAAGTCACAATAAAATCTTGCCGTCACATTTAAACTTCACACATATGCCTTTAAAATTCTTTTCTCACAACACCACAAAAGAACTCATTTTTCACTGAGAACAGATTGCGTGATGTCTTCTCAGCACTGGACAGCTCCCCTGATCCTCAGTCCAGCATGTTTCTAAAATAATACCAAGGCCACAGTGTTTGGTCCCCAAATAAACCAAGAATTTGGTTCCCTTCATTGCAAGGCCATAAACCACGACCTCCCACAGACTTGCCATGAATCACTCTCAAGATCAGCAGGGTGGGAGGCTCCGTGCCCCTCAGGTGACGACTATCACAGTATCTACACATACACTCATGAAGAGACAAAGGTGCCACAAAATCAGAGTGAGGCCACTGAGGATCACTCCAATTCTCAGTTAATAAAAGCCTAAGCTCTTTTTCCATTTCTTCTGTCACCATGAACACAGAGCCTGGTGGAGAGCTCTGTACACAGAGGAGGGAGTGCTTAATTACTATGTTACCCCAGAGCAGAGGAGAGTCAGAGAACAAACATGAACCTCTAACCACCAGCAGCACAGATGCAGTGTTCTGCACATCGTAAATGTTGAAAAGCGGATTCCTGATGGATGCCATGGCTCAGCCCTACTGCTAAGGTGTTTGCTTTTAATTGTCAGCAGGTAAGAAGAGAATGGAGGCAGATGTGAAGCTGAGGGTGTGGCATGACCATCACTGTAGTGGCACGGCAGGGCAGAAGATGGAAGTAAGGCTCTGGGCAATTATAATCGAATGGTCTCTCCCCAGGACAGTCACCCAAGACTTCTTCAACCCTGCGATCCTTCTGACCTGGGTTCTGTCTTAGCCACCTTGTCAACCCAGGTCTAACAGTGTTCTTTCACACACATATTTCACTGTGCACGTCCATGGCTGAAAAATACCCTGAAGTATTATATAAATGTTACACTAAAGTTATCCACTGTTTATCTGAAATTCAAATGTAACTAGGCATCCTGTATTTTTATTTGCTAAATCAGACTACTCTACTTAAGTGGTAAGAGAAATGACCAGGTAAAGAGCTTCCCTCTCAGTTGTTACCCAGGCCATACACACATGGGCAAGTTCTCTTCTGAGAAGAGACACAACCCAGGGGTCTGCTCCCATTAGGTCCAGGATTCCCCCCTGAGCCCCAGAACAACCTGTTTTGTCTCTGCCCATATAGATCCCAAGGGAGAAAGAACCTCATTAGCATTCAAAAGCAAGTAGTTCCTATCTGTGGAAAAAGGTTGATTAACACTAGCAGCTGGTAAGATGTATTTAACCAGCCCATGTTAT